TGGTTTTTACCTAACATTATGTATATACATATGTATTAGTATTTTTTATTTTTATTATTTATTTATTTATTTTATTTTTATGTTATTTGATTTTTTTAATTTAGTTAACTTCCTTGGTTGTTTTTCTCTTTTTTCTCTTATTTTAGGGACATTTTATTTATTTTATTTTCGATTTCGCATTGTACTTTATCTAAATTTTTTTTCCTTTTACGGGTATGCTCTTAAATCCATTAAAGGTATGTAGTTTGGATCAATTGTTACCTTTAAATATAAACTTGCAATTTTCTTAATTAAGACAATTGAAAATTAACTAGTACCGAAAGGGAAGTTCAAGGGTGCTAACCCTTCCTTGACTGTAACCAACTCCTGAATTCTACTTATCTTTGGTACCCTATTCCCGTTACACGACTATGGGCAAAGAGGGGTAGTTGTAGACACACTTTTTCTAACCATACAAATGTATATTATATATATTATTATCATCATTTTATTAAACTAACGTTTTTTTTCATTTTGTACAGCCCGAAGCCCATTTACAAAGTTGTTGGCCCAACAGTGACCCAAATCAGCAGCCCAGACCCAACAGGGACCCAAACGTGCATGGAATGGGTCAAACCAACGGCAACCTCCGATTATCCCGACGACGTGGTGTTGTAGGACTCCAAAATCAATCAACAAGCAACAAATAAACGAGTTTTAGCGCAAATAGGAGTCTAAAAATAGGATTTATTAGACTATATATATATGAGTGCATGTAAACACAAAAAACACAAGAAATATTGACAAGAAATATTGAGAAAAATACGAGAAAAATCAGAGAAGATTTCGAAAGGAAATATGAAATAAAGGTAACTTTTTTACCTTGCTTGGATCTCAACCTTGTTTGTATGTGGTTGCGAAAACCAAGTTTATTTTCGAAAAAAGGGGAAGAGCTTTTTAAAAACTAAATTATTTTAGTTGGTCACCGTCGATCAACGACGGTCCGCGAGGCAGCGACCCGTCGAAATCTGGGTTTGGGGCTGCCGATGAAGAACACGTTTGAATGTTTCAGAGAAAACGGGGAAGGGGCGTTGATCTGTTTTGAGGCTAAGGAAAAAATGAGAGATGTTTCTGAAAAAGTGGTATTTATAGCGACCCGCCAAACCAACTCGCGTGTGACCCGATCCAAGGCAGGATTCGCGTGTTTTTTCGAAATAATGGGCTACTTTTTTTTCAGTCCTCGCTTGTTTCAAGGATCTATTTTGACCATTCATTTTAGTTTTTTACCTCGATTTTCTTTTAATTTTACCCTCTATTCTATTGTTATTTTGATTTAGTCATTTTTTATATTTTTTTCTTTATTTAATTAATACTACTTTTATCTTATTTTCAATTATTTTATTTTATTTTCATTTTCTTTTTATGTTTTATTTATGTTTTTTCCTTTTTATTGTATTTCACTTAATTCCATTTTTTTATTTTTTATTTATTTTTTATTATTATATATTTTTTTCTTTTTATAGCGTTTTTACTTATATATGTTTCTTATTACTATTTTCCCCTCCTTTTTATTTGTATTGGTTTTTACCTAACATTATGTATATACATATGTATTAGTATTCTTTATTTTTATTATTTATTTATTTATTTTATTTTTATGTTATTTGATTTTTTTAATTTAGTTAACTTCCTTGGTTGTTTTTCTCTTTTTTCTCTTATTTTAGGGACATTTTATTTATTTTATTTTCGATTTCGCATTGTACTTTATCTAAAAAAAAAATTCCTTTTACGGGTATGCTCTTAAATCCATTAAAGGTAAGTAGTTTGGATCAATTGTTACCTTTTAATATAAACTTGCAATTTTCTTAATTAAGACAATTGGAAATTAACTAGTACTGAAAGGGAAGTTCAAGGGTGCTAACCCTTCCTTGACTGTAACCGACTCCTGAATTCTACTTATCTTTGGTAAGATGCAGATCAGGTAAAAAATTGAGGTATCCGATCAACCCATTTTGTTCAAAATAAATGATCGGTGGCGACTCTAACCATTCTATTCAAGTCAAAGCCCAATTTTGGTATCATGTCATTTTTAGTTCTTTTTTATCGTATTTTCAATAATAATTTCCCTTGGCTCTTTTTCTAGTAAAGGGTATCATGGCTACTGGTGTTTTAGACTATCAATGCAAGTTTTTTATTGGTCTTTTGTTTTTCATTGAATACATGCTTAGTTGCTTTCCCGATGTTCGGTTCCTCTGTTTGTTTGTAAAAGATAGTTCGTTGATTATCGTATTTATGTGCCGGGTAGGATTGTTGTTAAGGGGAGATCGCTTTTTTCGTTGGCCATTTTGGTTATTCTTCAAGTTTCTCTCCTCCATGTTTTGATGCTCGAAGTCGTTGGTGTGTTCAGTTTATGTACGTCGCTGCTCTATTTGTTAATGATTTTGTTTATCATGCTATCACTAAGCGATCATTGTTATATTTTATTTTCGATAGTCATGACTGTATTTGTTCAGTCTGTAATTGACAAGACTTTTGTTGATACTACTTTTGATAAATGAAATATTTTGTTTATTTTCAATAAAAAATTATGGGTCAACGAATTCGTATTTTTTTAAATAATTATAATTTTATGAATTAAAATTATCAAAATTAAATTTAGTTTATGATTGAAGGTTTGAATGAGATATTTTTTTATTATTAATTTAACATATTACGTTAGCCTCTTAATGACAAATAAAGATGTGATATTTATTTTATAATATAATTGAATGATTGAATAAAATATTATATAACTTTTAAAAAATTATTGTTACAAATGATTATTTTTATATAATTAATAATTACTGAAAAAAATTGTTCTGTTTGTGGCGTGTACGAGTATGATAGATTTTTCCCGCTCTCTAGACTCATCCCTCGACTTACTATAGCCATAAATCAATCGGCCTTATATACTAACTTCCAAAATTTCAGTCAATTTTCCTATTAATATATTTCTTTGAATTTACTTAATCATTGAATTTACAGGATTTATATTTGAACCGAATGGTCGACACGTGTCACATCCCTCAATCCAACGGATATCAAATCTAAAAGAGTAGGGGTGATTGCCAACGCCATTGCAATCACAGTCAAAACATAAAGCCTTTTACGAATCCCAAAAACCTAAACGAAATGATGGTTTTAGTTCCATGCAATGAGACACATGGAAAAAAACATCGTCACGTGTTTCCACCGTTATGATTGATTCCTTTTTATAAATAATTTCAGTGATAGAAAATGTCTTATAATATACGATTTTGACTAATTTTTTTTCGAATTGTCAAAATGACCAACAAAATCGCAATGCGATCTCTAAATTGCAACGCGATCTCCAGTATCGCAAATCAGTTTCTAGATTCGCAACGCGATTTTGACTATCGCATTACGATTTTCTAAATATTGCGATTTTCTAAATTCGCGTTGCGATTTTAGAAAATCGCAATGCGAATATGTAAATCGCAACGCGATTCTGACTATCCAAAGCGATCTCCAGTATCGCAAATCAGTTTCCAGATTCGCAACGCGATTTTGACTATCGTAATGCGAATATGTAAATCGTAACGTGATAATACAGAATCGCGTTGTTGCGATTTTAGAAAATCGCAATGCGAATATGTAAATCGCAACGCGATAATATAGAATCGCAACGCGATTCTGACTATCACAATGCGATAATACAAAATCGCAATACGATTTTCCAAATTTATGTTAGTCCAAATTCGTTGCGATAGTCCAAGTTCACGTTGCGATTTCTTAAGAATTTTCTCTAAAAAGATAATATCCGCACGGACGTGTCGAAGAGACGTATTACCACGACCACGACCACGACCACGATCATGACCCGGGACGGGACGGGACGGCGGCGGCGGCGGTGCGCGAGAGTTCCCCTTGTTCTCTTCCACTCAACAAGGAAGTGGAAAATCCAAACCTTAAATACCCATTCCCAATAGTGTTTCCAATACTATGTGGGATTGAGTATTGCAAACACTTGAGAATCTTTTACACTATCGCAACACATTCTTTATTGTTTCAAACTAAGATCTTACAAATGGCTTGAGAATCTTTTACACTATCGCAACACATTCTTTATTGTATTCAAACTCCACGTGAATTTGAAATAGTTAAAATATAAACTTATTTTAGATTTTTCACTATCGCAACAACACGTTTTTCAAACTCTCGCAACACATTTTAACTATCGCAACATATTTTTCAAAATCGTGTTACGAATCTAGATATTCGCGTTGTGAATTTGGAAACTGAGTTAAAAAATTAGAGTTCGTGTTGCGAATTTAAGATCGAGTTGCGATTTTGTTGGTCATTTTGACAAATCCAAAAAGAATTGGTTAAAATCGTATGTTATAAGACATTTTCGGTCAGTGAGGTTATTTTCTATTTTTCTACCCCCAAACACCCCCTCTCTCTTGTTTTTTGGTGTCTTAATTTCAGTGCATGACTGTCTAGCTTTGGAAAACAATCATCATCTATTGTAAGTACTCTCTTCTTTTAACTTCTTTTACTGGTTTATTATGTATTGCTTTTCCTTTCAATCGATTACCCATACAAACTCACTTTCATATGCCCTTTTTCCCTCTTTTAAGAAACCACTTACGAGCTCAATGGTTTTTTGGTATATTTTCTTTTATCTTTCCTAATGATTTCCCTTCGATAATGATTTCTCATTTGAATAAAACTAATCTTGATTACTTCAAAAGATCAACTTTTCTTTGGATGCAGAACCAATTTCTCAGATCTTTGCCTTGTACTTGTTTGCAGTTTTTAATAAAAAAAAGCTTTTCTTCTCTTATTTTTAATTATTTTTTATTGTATTTCTCGTCAGCTAAACAAAGTTGACCCAGAATATCACAAGAAAACAAACTTTCTTTGCCGTCAAAAGGTTTATCATTCATCTATACTCTAAAGTCCTCAATAGAATTAATCAAATTCAATTTATGAACAACAAAACTGTTTTACCCTTTGAAGCAGAAAAGATCATCTCTTGATACAAGAAGAAGAAGAAACCTTTCGAGAAAAAGAAGAAGAAGAAGAAGAAGAAGAAGAAAGAAGAGGAGATTGCTGAGATTTTGGTTGATTGTATTTGAACAGTGAAGCTAGAGATAAAGAGACTGTGAGATATATCAACAAAGAGATGGGATCTTTCAAGGGTCATGCTTTGCCAGGGACTTTGTTCCTTGTTGTTGGTGTATGGCACATATGGAGTTCCCTTGTCCGGTTTGTGTCAAACCCCAAGTCTTTTGAGGTCAGGGTGTGGAACCCTGTTCCTGGTTTTAATGGGAAGTTGAAGCACTTGGAGCTTTATGTTGTAGCCATTGGTGCTTTCATTGATCTGTGCATTGAGCTTTTGTATTCAACCCACCTCAAGTTTATTGTCAATGGAAGCCTCAATCCATCGCACTTGAACGATTTTGAGCATTCAGGGATGCTTCTCATGTTCTTCCTCTTTGGTTCCATCGCTTTGCTTTCAGAGAAAACGAGGTTAGTCATAGTGTTTTAATTAGTTCCTTGACTTTATTTGTTATTTGATAATTATCTTTATGTTTGTTATGCAAAAGTATGAATGAAACGGGAAGAAGAAGAGGGGAGTGGATCAATGGACTTCTGCTTTTGTTTTTGTTTACTTTGGAATAACCGACACATAAGATTCCTTTTTGTTGAACATTATGTGAAAGCATAGAAAACCTGCTTTTAGATAATCAAGACAACAATTAAAGAATTTGCATTTAGGAACAAATCTTTCTCTTGATCTCACTTTTTGTTTTATGAACAGTATAACAATGCCTGTAATGAAGTTGCTGCCAAGTCTTTTTTTACCTTTTGTTTGCCCTCACTTCGCTGTTTTTCCTTGCCCCCCTTTTTTTCTTCAGGAAAACACATGGAAAACTGAATAGCATTGTTTTCTTTTTACTGCTTGATCAAAAAGATCTAGAACCTCCATTAAACTGATATAATCATGCTCTTGACAGAAAATTTTTGAACTAGATGGTCTCTGCCCTTGTTTTCTCTTCATATCAATAATAGATTTAATGGGATATTTCATAATGAGCTAATCGACGATGTCTCTTAGTCTGGCAAACAAGGTGTTTTTGAAAGGCAAGGTAAATAATGCAATGTTTTTGCATTTTTTTAAAGGCATAGAGCCATAGGGGATAGGAGGGAGGAAGTTATAAAGGTTTTATAAGCAGCAGATATTGCATGAACTGCTTTGTCTTCCTTTTTGTTTTGGGAATGATCGCATACCAAGTGCCTTGTTACATAACTGTAAATTTCATCTCCAGTTATGGTTAATTCTATGTCTGAAATATGTATGGCTAATTTTTCAAACATCTTGGTTGGAATCTGTTGTTGGTCAGTTTTGTTTCGTTACCACAAGGATCCCTTTGTCTTATTGCGGCCGCAGCATTCACCGCAGAGTATATGCTGTTCTACTTTCACTCAACCACTCACAAGGGCCTTGAAGGATACTACCATCTTGTCCTTGTCCTTCTAGTAGGACTGTGCATTTTGACCACACTCGCCGGAGCTCTCTTGCCAAACAGCTTCCCGGTTGATTTGTGTAGTGGAATTGCAGTAACTCTCCAAGGCCTCTGGTTCTATCAGACCTCTTTCACCCTCTACGGCCCCATGATGCCGGACGGTTGTCGACTCAAGGATAATAATGAAATCCGTTGCCATCTGGTAGATAGTGAAGTTCGAGGGCAGTTGATTGCTAACTTCCAGCTCTTTTCTATGGTGCTGGGTGTCGTTGCTGCTGTTGTGGGATCATATGGTTTTGCAGCTTCAAGATATGGGAATTCTGATCTTAGAACCATGCACTCAGTTCAACATGGTATGCAATCTTTAACTTTGGATGTAAATTAATTTCAGGCTAGCCCTTTTTAATGCATTTTTGGAATATGATAAGGAGCTTTGATGAAATGTTGTTGCAATGGTATTTTACAGGCTGAAGCTGCATGGAGCTTAAGCTAATGAGGATCTATTAATTGAATACGAGGGAGAGATTTGATGGAGGACTTGAAAGTTTCCATAGCTGGTGAAATAGAGCTTACATTAGTATTATTATTAGTTCATTAGAATCAACAACACGAAGAACAAAAAAATAATGATGGTGATGCAAAACAACTAAAGAAGACAAAGAATCAACTATACCTCAATTTAAATATTCTTTATTCCTGTTGACTATGGTAATTGTCGTAACCGATTTTCGTCCGGGCACGAAATATTACTTGGCGGGAAAATTGATGTAAATAAATGGTTTTGAAAATAATTTGGGAGTCGCCATCGGCCTTTTGGGTCAGGTAGGTCGAATACCTAAAAATTATCTTTTAACAGAGTTTTTAAGAAAACATCAGTTAAAAGATGAACTGATCTGCGTTTATAACCAAAAATTCTTTCTTTTTAATAATAAAAAGGGATTCGTGGTCGGTTACGTTTAGGGAAGGATTAGCACCCCTATAACGCCCAAAATTGGTACTTTTTAATTATAAATTGTCTCTATTATTAGAAATTTAAAAATTCAAAGATATATTTAATTTATAATTATGTTATTTCAAATTTTATTACTATAATTTTTAAGAAAATATATTAATTTAAATATATTTATAAAAATATTTACTTATTTAGAAATATCATAAAAGGACTTCTAGGTGCCTTAAGACAGCTCTTTTCTTGATATTAAAAAAATATTAAAATTTTAATAATTTTAATAAAACTAAATTATAATTTTTATAATGTTTAAAATACCAGAATAGGACATCCAGTTGTTTTAAAACTGCCATTTTCTTTGATATTGAAAATAAATAAACATTATTATTTAAAAGAATGTAGATATATATTTATATGAATAAGATAATAATAATAAAATAATTATGAAAATAATAATTTAAAATATAAATAAACAATGAGTAAAATAAATAAAATTAAAATTAAATATAAAAAGTAATAAAACTTATAATTAAAATTGGTGACTAAATTATGACATATCAAGATTAAAAGCTCTAGTTTGAAATATTATGAAAACTAGGTGTTACTAATGTAATTAATCCTTAATTAATTAATTAGAGGTCAAAATAAAAGTTATTAAAGTTGTAAGGACTAAATATGGTATTTACCCTAAATATATATAAGTATACAGGCTAGGACTAAATTATAAACTAAATAAAATCGAAAGACCGAATTAAAAGGTTCAAGATTTGATTTCAGTGACCAAAATGAAAAGTTACAAAACTGTGGTGGCAGCGAGTATAGTTTACCCACGCGAGAAATTACAGATATACCCCTTCCCCAAAACGGCGTCGTTTGGGGAAGGGTTTAAAAATCCCTTAATGCCGGCCCTTAAGGGCCAGCTTCTCACTTTCATCTTTCCTCTTCTCTCTCTAGCTGAGAGAGAAGAAAGACTCTCGCCTCTCTCTAGTTTTCTGTCGCCGGCCGGCCACCACCAACGGCGCCGATTACCACCGCCGGCCGCCACTAACGGTGGCCGGAATTCCCAAATTACCCTAGAGTGTAGATCTCAACCTCCTAAGGCCGAATATGGCATTCGCTTGTCCTAAAACGCTTTAGATCGTTCTAGATCTAAAATAAATCGAAGGTTTTACCTTCGGTTTTACAATGATTCCGGTGGTTCCAAACGGTTTGGAGGCTTTTATGATGGTAAGATGCTCCTTTTCCTCTTCTTTCTGATTATTGGGTGTCGATTTGTTCTCGTATTCTACTCTCTGTTTGGTTCACTGTTCTTGCCGTGGCTTTTTGTTTGTGTGTTAGTTGCCCCTCTGTTTTGGTTATCTCCGATTCTTTCACCTCGTCCCCTTTTTTCAGGTTTGGTGGTGGCTTTTTATAGCCACCACAGTGCTCGGATTAGACCAGTCCAAAGAGGGAAGCTTCGGTGAGTCACCATAGCTATGGTGGTGACTCACTATAGGGCTTCAACGTGTGTGGCTTTCATCATGGCAGCAGAGCTTCTGGAGGCTTCAACGGCGAGGTGGCGTGGCACTAGAGGCAACGGCGGCTGGGACGTGTCCCTAGGGTTATGATACCCTAGGGTTTCCTTGTTGGGACCATCTGGGCCGTTGGATCAAAACTAGATCCAACGGCTTTGATGCTGGCGGCTAGGGCAAGAGATGATATAAATCCTAAATTGGGTTTAGGGTTTCCTGTGGGCTTTTGGATTTGGGCCGGTTACTGTTGGATTTGGGCTTGTAATAATATTTAATAATAATATTAATAATAAATAATAATATTAATAATAATAATTATAATTATAATAATTATAATAATAATAATAATAATATAAATAATATTTAAATGAAAAAAATGAGTATCTTCAGCTGCCCCTCTTTGCTTTTTCTTGTGTTAACAAGAATAGAGCAAAGACGAAAAGATAATAAGTTTTTTCATTTGACTTCACTTGATTAATATGGAAATGTTGAATAAATTCTTCTCTTTCTTCAGATGAGTTCTTCTCATTATGAACTTTCCGCTGGGGATGATGTTGACCTATTTCCTTCTGTGATAGAGTCATTCAAAAGGTTGAATAAGCTCTTCTTATTATGAACTTCTTCTTTCTTCTTCAGATGAGTTCTTCTCATTATGAACTTTCTCTGGAAAGGTTGATGCTAATCTATCTGCTTCTGTGATAGAATTATACAAAAGGTTGAACAAGCTCTTTTCATTGTGAACTTATTCTTCTTCAGATTAGTTCTTCTCATTATGAACTTCTTCTTCAGATGAGTTCTTCTCATTATGAACTTTCTCTAGAAAAGCTGATCTATCAAGTGATGGATTTGAACAAAAGGTTGAACAAATTCTTCTCATTATGAACTTCTTCTTCCTTCTTCAGATGACGAGTTCTTCTCATTATGAACTCTACCTGGCAATGTTGATCCATCAAATGATGAATTCAAACAAAAGGTTGAACAAATTCTTCTCATTATGAACTTCTTCTTCCTTCTTCAGATGAGTTCTTCTCATTATGAACTTTCTCTGGAAAAACTGATCCATCAAGTGATGGATTTGAGCAAAAGGTTGAACAAATTCTTCTCATTATGAATTTCTTCTTTCTTCTTCAGATGACGAGTTCTTCTCATTATGAACTCTACCTGGCAATGTTGATCCATCAAATGATGAATTCAAACAAAAAGTTGAACAAGTTCTTCTCATTATGAACTTCTTCTTCCTTCTTCAGATGAGTTCTTCTCATTATGAACTTTCTCTGGAAAAACCGATCCATCAAGTGATGGTTTTGAACAAAAAGTTGAATAAATTCTTCTCATTATGAATTTGTTCTTTCAGATGAGTTCTTCTCATTATGAACTCGAACTAGAAATGTTGATCCATTGAATGATGAATTCAAGCAAAAAGTTGAACAAGTTCTTCTCATTATGAACTTCTTCTTCATTCTTCAGATGAGTTCTTCTCATTATGAACTTGACCTGGTAATGCTGATCCATCAAATGATGAATTCAAACAAAAAGTTGAACAAGTTCTTCTCATTATGAACTTCTTCTTCCTTCTTCAGATGAGTTCTTCTCATTATGAACTTTCTCTGGAAAAGCTGATCCATCAAGTGATGGATTTGAGCAAAAAGTTGAACAAGTTCTTCTCATTATGAACTTTTTCTGGAAAAGCTGATCCATCAAGTGATGGATTTGAATCTTTGCTAAAATCTTTGAAATTCCTGTCAAAATTCAACATGGATAAAATGAATGAAAATGCACCTATTTTTGCAAATATCTAAATATGATGCATGAATGTTGATGCAATCTTCATTTGACTTCAAAATGGTGAACTCGGTTTTCCTCCACTTCATCATTTATTGCCAGGGTCACCTCTGGATATCAGTGTAGCAACTTATGCTATCAAGCTTGCATTTCTGAAGAGCCATCTGATCAATTTGTATATTTATGTCTTCTTTGTTTCATGAAAGTCTCAGAAGAATTGTTTCATTTGTGGAACTCTTGTCGTAGTCAGAACTATCTTGGATAAAACCAACTTTATTTGCTTGGACTTGTGTATAAATCCCATAAAGCTTTCATCTTTGAAAAGAGAATCTATCATATTTAAAAAGAGAATTTATCATTTTTGAAGAGAGAATCTATCATCTTTGAAGAGTGTAGATGTAGATATGCCTGATTCATCAGAGATTAATTAGGAGAGTAGAGTCTGTTCTGATTTGACTCTTGAAACATATCATAAGGATAATTTATCTCAATTCCTTTCATGTCTCCACATTTAATTCAATCTTGAATACAACAACTTGGACCATATCATGTCGAGATGCTTAACCACAACCTGTCCTTCAACTAGTTTCTTGTGGTTAAAATTTAGCTCTCTTTTTGTGGAAAGAAATCTTCATCATATCTCATCTTATAATCTTGAAGTTGAAGAAGACAAACTTTATCTTGGATCAAAAATGGAAACCATATGATCGTAACATTGGTTCAGCATCAGAATAGCAGATTCGTAAAACATTTGACAATACATTCATCTTTTCCTGTGTTATCTGTCGAGATGTAAAACACTTGACAACACATTCATATTTTTCTGTGGCTTCTGCTCAGATGTTCGTAAAACATTTGACAACACATTCATCCTTTCTTGTGGTTTCTGCTTAGACGTTCGTAAAGCGTTTGACAACACATTCATCATTTTCTGTGGTTTCTGCCAAGATTTCTTAATCATTGAAGCTCTTTGCCTAGTGTTCAAAGCTTTTGAATGATGTCACAAGACCATTTGAGAGCAAAACTCAGTGGAGATTCAAGTGTGATGTTAGTATGACCAAAAAGTTGGTCAAATTCACAATATGCTAGTGTCGAGTTGAATAAAAGATACCAACTGATCTCGATATCATCTCGGGCAAGGGAAAGTGTGATATTGATTACGTTTTCTTCGCTGGGGATGAAACACCCATGATAAAACCAAAATAGATGAAAACTCAATTCACCATGGTTGGCAATGATAACCCTAGTAACATCGGGAAAGAGCAATATACATGCATGAGCTTCTTTCTTCAATGTCATCAAGTAAACAAAACT